AAATCATACAATAAATTATACTTCCGAACTTCTTCTATAAGTTTTTCTTTGTTCATTTTAAAAACAAACAACAATGCGTCCGACACATTAGAAAGAAAGGCTCGAAATGAAGGGCACCAACCCTTCATTTCGAGAGCGCCACATCGCACTCGCGTGTATCGCGCTTTGCTAGCTCGCGCTTCGCGCTTCGAGGCACTCGCAGTCCGCGCGTGGACACCTCGCATGTGAGGCGATTTGGTGATGGTACGGAGTTGATGTAGTGAGCGCAGCCCCATACAAATCCATACGAAGAATACCAACCGCTCGAGGCGAGGCGGTGAGGGTCGGGTGCTGGGTAGCTCTAATGAACTGTGACCCTAATGCTGCTTTGTTTCGTATGGTGAGTGTACAGAACCGGAGACTCTTTTTGCTGGAAACGAGGCATACCATCTTAGTTCTCAAGGGTGACAACACATCTGCACTGTCTATGAGCCACAGCATCCAGTTACCATCAGATGGACTGTATGATCGTTCGTCGCAGCTAATATATTATACAGCTTTAATCTATGCAATTTGCTGCGTTGCATCTGCTTACGATAATCACGAGGTCAGCATAACGTGATTCCTGCCTTCGCCTAGTTCTATTATTTGATCATGTAAAATCATTTTACTTCAAATTGGAGTCACCTCGCTTAGTTTGTAATAAGCCCGGTTTACATTTTTAGAAGTAACAACTCTGAGTAGTAAGTGCAACTGGCAAATGACAAGTGCTTTTTGCGTGTGAACAGGCATTGACAAGTGATAAGCGGGAATAAAATACGCATTAAGCACTTGACATTCGTCAGTTGCACTTACCACTCGCACTTGTCACTTCTCAAAATATAAACCGGGGCTCAATTGTAAAATTTATTGAAATTAATTGATTTTTTTTTTTTGCAAGTAAAAATTATTCCTTTTCTTGCAACCTCTGACTGGAGCCCAAATAGTTAATACAATATTTTTTTTTAATAAAAATGGAGTGACAAGCAACTAACAGTTCACCCAAGGGTAAGTGATTACTGTAACAACAAAAGTCTGAACCTGAAGTTATACTGGCTCTCTTTACCCTTCAGACCAGAACACGACAATGAAAGCAGAAGAATGCGAGAAGAAGATATTTGACAGCAGAAATAAGTAGAGCGTGAAGTGGAGAGGTAAGGAAAACCGTCTCTTTATTAAAAAGTAAGGTAAGAAAGCGCTTAATAAGGATGGCGCCACTGTGGCTAGAGGGTAAATTTTTAAAAAACTTTTTATTGCACAGACTTTCACCATAATTCTTTTTTATAACATTAAATTAAAGTATTGTTTTCAAATTTTTTATTTTCTAAATTATTCTCAACGTGTTTCACAGCGACTTTTTCTAGGTTATATTTACTAAATTATTTTAGACAATATTCCATGGTTCTCCTAACCTATGTATATACTCTATGAAGTTGAGAGGATGTTACCTACCCGGACAAGAAGAAAACGAATCCTACCACCTTGTATGTTGCACGTTGTACACTTATATATTATTGTTGTATGTTATATGCGAACTAATGGTTTTTTTAAAGAATAGGGGAAACAAACGAGCACACAGTCCACCTGATGGTAAGTGGATGCTGTGGCCCATAGATCTACATGTGTCCTCGATTAAGAATTAAAAGGAAGATGCGTATGTATATACTAATATGGAATGCCTCGTTTCCTGTAAAAAAGTATCTCCGGATCTCTACACTCACCATACGAAACACAGCAGTATACGTTACTTAGAAACGAACGAAACTGCTATTTTACGCTAATATTCTGTGAGAGCGTGGTCCTTCCCCGGTCGAGCCGACCCATTCGTGCTGCAACTATAATATAGCTGCAGCGTGGCTCTACCACGTATAAAACGGCGCAATGTGTTTTATTTGCGTTTATAGTAATAGATAATTATCTCAAACTACGCCACATGGTCCATTGCGAGGAGCATACTTATCTCAAATCATAAACATATTAATGAGGACGGTTTCAAGATAAACTGGCTCCGAGGGTCAACTTAGTAAACATGTTATTGTTTTCGTCTATATTCATGTCTCCCTGACACTTTAGAGTGATAGTAATATACAAGTATGTTTCGCAAGGGTTGAACGCTCCGTGACGCAGGGGCAGGGGCAGGAGCATTGAGTTACAGCGCTAAGGGCTAAGGGATGCGAGTTCGAATCCCGCACGAAACAAGAGTTTGTATGACCCACAAGTAATTGTTTCGGGTCTGGATGTTTGTCCTTGCATGGGAAAATTCTAGTGTTCCGAATTTTTTAAAAAGACAAGAAAAGAAAGAAAAAAGGGTTGACGTATGATGACGAAGTAAGGTAAGGGAGTGTTTTTTGATGCGACTATGTACGACTAAATACTGTGGATAGACTAGTCTGGCCGTGAAAAGAAAAAGGGAGATCTCCCGCCGGGTAAGGTGATCAGCCTGAAGAGCGACCAATGCGTGTAGCACAACTTTGATAGCGTGATTTAGGCTCCGTTTTATTTCGCTTACAAACATAAAACCACATAGAAGGCAGTGCAGCAATAAAGGAAGTACCCTGGTCGAGCCGACCCATTCGTGCTACAACCATAATATAGCTGCAGCGTGGCTCTACCACGTATAACTGGCCTTTTTAATTTCAATACTAGTATTAAAAATGCTTGTAAATCTATTTTGTGCGTGGCTGTAAAACCTGCTGTGTATAAAAGTACGTTTGTTACAGCTCGGTCCATTATCGTATTGTGCTGTCCGTAGGTCAGTGAAAGTCTAGTGATTATTAGTATTTCTACAATTTAAAACATAACTGGTGTTCCTCTCTCCTTTACTCTAGTACTAGATGATACTCTCATATTAATAATCTTTACAATATATAATCGTGTCTGTCCGTGTGTGTGACTAAATTCCTATTAAACGGCTGGAGCGATTGTGATGAAACAATTTGCGTGTGTTTGTGTGAGTCCTAGGATGTTTCAGATTTATAATAGGACCCGATAGGTGAAGCTGTTGTTGAGATCTAGAAATCACCTGTGCAAATCCAGGACGGATCGCTAGTTTAGTGACAGTTTAACTGTAATAAATAAGTCAACTGCCAGCCGCTATAATACTAAGGTTATCGACATAGCCTTACGTATTTCCGTGCTGAAGTAGCAATGGGCTGGTCACCTATGGAGAAGCAATAACAGTTATTGCTTCTTCATATGTGACCAACCCATTGTTTACACGTGTTATAGAGTGGAGACTGTGCTTAGGTAATGTAGTGTGGACTCCCTCTGGCTAGATGGAGGAAGATCTTTAAAATCTTGCGTGAAATAACATATAGCTGACGTGAAGCACCGACACTCCGGGAAGTGCGACCTGTAAACATGTTCAAGATCGTCCCCACCATTACATTAGATTTGAATATTTTTTATAGAATAAGGGTGACAAACGAGCACACAGTCCACTTGATCGTAAGGGGATGCTGTGCCCCATAAACATCCACATTTAACACCCTGGTAAAAAAGCCAAGAAGTCGATAGATGCGAGTGGATCAGGACCGTGTTTTGTAGCATTACTTGTGGGAAGCCTATGTTTATATTGGATTGTTAGGGGTTATAACGATGATGACGATGATGATGACAAATTAACAAAATTTATTGCTCGAAAATTGGCACCGTTGTCAAAATTCGTAGAAAAAATCTTTCCTCAATAAACAGACATGCGCGTTATATTGATGATGCCCTTCTGATCTCTAATAGATGTACTTGTTACAATAATCATGCTCTCTTGAACTCTACTCGACTACGGAGACAATTTCTGCTAAACCATAAACTATCAACTGTGTGACAGATTTGATAGTTCCGCAAGAGCAGAAGTACCAGAGGCATTCGTTCGGCCTTACCACCTACCTGCAACCGTTGTAACACTAATGAAGTAAGCTCGGAGGTAGGCAAAGGTAGATATAGTATCAGATAGATTGGCACAATCAATTTTTTATAGAATAAGGGTGACAAACGAGCACACAGTCCACCAGATGGTAAGTGGATGCTGTGGCCCATAAACATCTACATTCAACCCCGATTAAGAAAAAAAATGCAGATGCTCTGTCACCCCTGAGGACTAAGATGGAAAGCCTCGATTTCAGTAAAATGGGTCTCCGGTTCTGTACACTCACCATACGAATCACAGCAGCATTAAGCTGCTACTTTACGCTCGTATTTTGTGAGAGCTTGTTCCTTCCCCGGTTGAGCCGACCCATTCGTGCTACAACCATAGTATAGATGCAGCGTGATCACTGCAGAGAGACATGTACAATCACCGTAACCAGGCCAAAATACTAACAGTATGTGCGTTCGCACGAATGTCGACTCTGCCTGGAATTCGAAATTGCGACGTTACGAAGTATTGTGGCCACCAGGATACATTCGTCGTACAGTATCATGTACATAACATGAGAATAATAATACAGTCGTCATGTACATAACATGAGTAAGCTTATATAGCCACAGTCAAAGGATTAGTAAGCTGAAGTAGCAATGGACCAGCCATATAGCTTGAAAAACCGACAACCGAGGGGGAAAAAGGTAGAGGACTTAGTATTTGAAAGACGGTAGGACCCTACCACTCATGCTGTCTGAAATAAATCTGGATCGAAACAATTATACACGTATTTGGAAGGTTTTAGGGTCCCATCATCCCCTTTGTCTGGAGTCGATTTGATTCAGTACAACTTTCTTACTTCTTTCTACCTACCACGTAGTAGTTGACTACGACACATAAAAACAAACGACAGATGCGTTGTCGTTATTTCATTAACGCCTCTGATATCTTTTTTGGTTAAATATGCTTGAAGGTGTCCATTGGTTACGGTAACCACTTCACATAACGTCGAATACTTACTGTATATCACGCTAATATACATAAAAAATTTAAACTTATGAAAACCCATTTTACGTTTTAAAACGATAAAGCTACACTTAATTAGACTATATTAAAAATCACTTACTTGAGCAGATGTAACGTATATGCATGATACTATAACGCACACCAACGAAATTTGTTTGAAATCCATGTTCACACTTGCTTGAGTACACATTCTAACACACGGTTGTCAAAATATCATTATCTGTAGAGATGTTTAATTCATAAAACTTAAATAAGTTACTTGGAATACAACGGCCTTTGCTCTAAAAAGACTAATAGTATTGTATTATAATGTGTATAAAGTATAACATGAACAGATTTAAAAAGTAGGTACTTCGATATTTTTGAAGTATCAAAAACATTACGTTGTATGTCACTTCATTTAAAATGTGCCTATGAAGATGTTAAGAACTTTGAAAACAATGTGCACAATTTTTTGAATATTTTAAACATATAAAGGTAAACTTATAAGCATTTGTTTTCAAATTAGCATTATTAATAGAAAACAGTAAAATAGATTACAAATTAATCAATTTCAATATTAAAATTCTAAATAAATCTAAGTCATTCATAAATTGCCAAGTTTTGCAAAGTTTAACCTCATTTTTTGATAATAACAATCCTTAATGATTTATATGTTTTAGTTTCAAAAAGTTTTGACTAGTTTGCATTAAAATACAATTATAAATGCGCAAATATTAACATTTATTCAGTAGCTGTATAATTTGATAAACCGATTGACATTTACGATTATTGTTAGATGAGAAGACTGCACATTCACTTAAAGATTCACCTTTCGTAAATTTGTATTATAGTCGATAGTTTAATTACTGAAATCGATTAAAACCGGTAAATTTAAAATTAGGGCACAGCACTAAATGTCAATTTTAGAATTATTTACTCGAAGTGTTTCGCTCGTTTCGTTACTTTATTCGCGCGCGTCTGTAGCATCCAACGACAAACGCAAGACTGGTTGCCCGGAGATGGTATCATTTGATAGTTCCTCGCCCCTACCCTGCGTGGAATCCTGAACTGTCCTTGATAACAATGTTCACACAGTCAACCATGCCAGTGCATTCGACACTGAATGTCAAATTATTTCAAGTTTTGATGGTTCTAATTATAGTTGCCGGTCATTTGTTTTATTACGTACTCCGTCACGATTTTCACATTATCTAACAAAAGCATGTAAGCGCCGTCGACATCATTTATATTATGATATACATAGTTAGAACATACATTTTACGATTTAAAGTAAAGTAGATCTGATAATTCACAATTCAGTAGACAAATCACCGAAGATAAATATTAAGTGCCACCTTAAGTATTTGTTTATTTTATGTAAACCTTCTTTTTCAATCGAAGGTTGTTTTAAAATCCTTCTTTTGTATTTATACTGCCTATATAAATAGAAAGAAGAAATAACTATTGCATAATTATTAAGCTGTATGCTCCAAAACATTCGCCTGCCTTAACAACAATGATGGTAAAATTCCTTAAAAATATAAATAAACGTAAAGCATTATACTGACTGTAAGTCAATGCTTTACGTTTTTTTTTATAATCTTATTTTCCTTATATGTGTACCAAAACTTGATTACGGCAAAAAGTTAAAACGAAAACTGGCCAAGTGCGTGTCGGGCCAATCACAATGTAGGGTTCTGTAGTTGCCCGTTACAAAACGTGAACTTAGAATAAACTTTCTTGATACTACGAAAATATTAAGTATGTCCACGGTTTGATCACTATAACAATTAAAATGGGTCCTAATAGGACGATGGTAACTGAAGGATTTCTTTTCTAAGCAAACTTCAAATAATTCATATGCCAAGTCCGTAAAAATGGACTTATTCGATCCTATCCATCTATTAGTTCGCGGCAGTGGAACCTTAACAAACTAGATCTAATAATCATACATGACCGTAACGAGCTTTCCCCTAAACCACCATCGCTCTTAACTATCGTGAGGGTTGCCCGCGTAAACCAAAAGAACCACGAATGAAACTGAAGCTTACAATAACTGCTAAATAAACAAAACGAAAGAGATCAGGATCGGTCTCTTGGCGATTAATCCTCTCTGCTAACCCCGCAAAGATAAATGTAAAGCTATAGTAGTAATGCATAAGTCGCTTTCTTCAAAACATGTTTATTTTTTAAAGTTTACAATAACATTCACAAAGTATAATGCTCTATAAAGTTTTAGATAATTTTCTATGATATTACCATCACAAGTCAAACAAGTCAACTGCTGAATATAGGGTGTCCCCAAGGAATATTACAATGCAAGGTAAACAAAAGCTGAGCTACCTGCATCTATCGACTTACTGCAATTCATTCGAGTTACAACAATAATATAGGTGCGGTGTTACCTTACCACGTGTTTGGTACCTTTAAAAAAAGAGCCTACTCTTTTAAAAGGCCGGCATTCCTCTTGCAATTCCTCTGGTTTTACGAATGTTCATGGTCCATTACTATCAGGTGAATAGTATTTTCGTTTGCCTCTTCTTTTTATCATCATCATTATAGCCCTTCACAAGTCCACTGCTGAACATAGGCCTGCCCCAAGGAATGCCACAAAGCACGGTCCTGAGCCACCTGCATCCATCAACTTCTTCATGTCTTACCAGGGCGTCACTCCGTCTAGTGCCAGGTCGCCCTTCCTAAGCTATATAAATTATTAATATCATAATACGATTATTAATATTAAACGGAAAACTGTTGTAGAGTTTTAAAGTCATGACATTTTAAGCTTATTTGATTTAAAGCTTGAGGTGAATGTCAAATAGAATAATAAAGATGTTTATGTAGCAAATTTAAACGGCGCGGCGGTGGCATCTCATGGAACTACTTTAAACTCGTTTATTATTACCTCACTCACTAACTACAGTCCATCACAAGTCTACTGACGAAGATAGGTTTTCTCCATATATTGAAACAGTTTTTTTTTAATTCGGTATAGATTATAAATAATTATACTTGTGAAAGTCACATTTATGTTTAATTTACCACTAATTCCGAAAACACCTCTGTCCTGAGAAGAATGAGTTAGGAACCTAAAGGATTTTTTTTAAAGGCACAGTTTACAATAATTTAATATGTTACACAAAAATTAACAAAGCAAAAGAAATTAGAAGTATCTTGGTAGCAATTACCTCATTTCCAAGGGTTATTATCATTTTCCGTAAATTCCTTAAAATTGTAATGACCAATTTTTTTAAAGATTGCCACAGAATGTGGTACTTTTCATACGTGGTAGAGCTACGCTGCAGCTGTGTTGTAGCACGAATGGGTCCACTCGACCGGGGAAAGACCACGCTCTTACAGAATACCAGCGTAAAATAGCAGCTTAGTACTGCTGTGTTTCGTATGGTGAATGTAGAGATCCGGAGACCCTTTTTTACTGGAAACGATTCCATCTTAGTCCTAACGGTGTGACAACGCATCTGCATTTTGATTCTTAATCGACGATAAATGTAGATGTCACTTACCATCGCGTGGACCGTGTGCTCGTTTGTGATCCTATTCTATGAAAAAAAGTCACTTTCAACTGATTCTATGCCTCTTTTAGTGGTGATACAGGTATTATTGATAATAGTGTCTTTCCTAGTGTAATGGTGTTAAGGGTAAGGGTACTGAGATTAGTAGTGACGGCGCTAGTGCACGTAATTGAGGTAAGGCTTAAGGTCCTCTTCAAACTGGGTAAGATTCATTTTTAACATCGTTAATATAATGGATTCCCGTAAAAAACGCTTGAACCAAATTTAACAATTATATTAGAATTAAAGAAAACTGCAGACATATTTTAGAATATAGTACGTGATCATCCGGTTATTCGGTTAATATGGTCACTTTCTAATAACTCAAAAACAACAGCCTTATTTTCATAGATGGCTTTGTGATAGGATAGCTCTTCATCAGTCAATCAAATAATAAAAGGTGAAAAGGGTGGTATCGACGCCATTTTGACAGTTCACATTACAGTAAATATTTTTGATGATGTTAGTATGGTGTAGTGTAGTTAGTTTTTTTTTTAATTGATTTTTCGAAATGTTCCTAATTATTATCAAAGCTTGTTTGTTTGTTTTTTCCTAATATATTAGTTATAGTATACAATATACTACTTTGTAGTTTTGTCTCTGTCCTCCTCTTAGCTATGGTTTTGTAGGACGGCAAAGCTTAAAGTCATATTACCCTCACGTACCTAATAATAAAAATAAAAACTCTGCCAAATTCTGTGCTAAAATTAATTAAAATATGCGTAGCGTAAATTAGATTAATTCACATAATCTTCCTAATACGACAGTTTTTAATCAGATTTGTTGCGAATGAGTTTTAGTTCAAGTATAGTTTCGTTGCGAAAAATAAAATTTCGTAAACCTCTCCGTTTTTAAACTGGTCCATTTTCACAATTTGAATCTGAATATTTATTGCCCCACCATCTCCGATAGATAACAAAAGTAAATCGCTCCATATCATTCAGTTAGTGTCGTAAGAAACTATTAAAATATTTGCATCTTCAATAATATATTTTCTAATAGAACATCTGTGATAAAAACGCACACAGTCCACGTGATGATAAGTGAATGCTGTGGTTCAGAGACATCTACATCTATCTTTAATTAAGAATTAAAATGCAAATGCATTGTCACAATTGAGGACTAAGATGTAATGCCTTCTTTCAATTAATAAGGGTCTTCGGTTCTCTACATTCATCATACAAAACACAGCAGTTTGTTTCGCTATTTTACTCTGATATTCTATTATAGAAGGCGAGAAGAGAGTTATAATAGGCGACAGAGGGAAACAAGTCAGGAGATGGGCAGCAGCGTGTTCCTAAATCCAACTAAAAATAAAAAAACTGCTAGCCAAGCCTGGCAACTATGGCATATATCCATACGAGGCGATCTCTGGGGGAATATAGCAGTGGACTTTGATAGGATTTTTTATAGTATTGCGTGACAAACGAGCACTCAGTCCAGATGATGGTAAGTGGATGCTGTGGCCCATAGACATCCACATTTATCTTCAATTAAGAATCAAAATACAAATACATTGTCACCCCTGACCACTAAGTACCTAAATAAGATGAAATGTTTCTATTTCAACAAAAAGGGTATCCGGTTCTCTGCACTCACCATACGAAACACA